AAGAAATGTCAAGGCTGAGGCATGGAAGTGAAAGAACACACTTAATCCTGGGCAGACTTGTCTGTAAGTCATAAAACTGAGTTATAAAATTGTTCAAGTGCTTGGGGCTCCACCCCTTCTTGTGTCAAGGGGCATCATGGAACCACAGAGGAAGAACACCATTAGCTGCTGCCCACTGGGTTTCAGGACCAGGTTCCCCTCTCCCCGCTCTCATAGAATCATTCACATACGTGACAAGGTCTTTTGACCAAGGGTCCCACTTGATTCTATCCCTCACCTTACCTCTAAGGAAACAGGGAGAAAGCTGACCAAGGTCCACTGAGACCAGCAACCTCACCCACTTGTCCAATATTCACCAGAATATAGCAGAAATAGCAAATTCATTTCCCTTTGCCATTTTCTAGGGAAGATACAAAGGTTGAATGTTGCCTTTTTTGACCTGTCTGTTAGGTCAGAGATCAGAGGGAGAATCACGTTCCTGGCCAAATGTGCAGTGTGGAAGTTCACCAGGATTCCAGAGAGAGGTGGGTGTTCTCTGTCCAAATCAAAACGTGTTCCATATCACTACCCTTCATGTACCTTCCAGTCCAGCCACCTGGTGTGCTTTTTGTTCCTCATATGCATACAAGTCTTGAACTCTCATCACCATGCCTCGTGCTGGCCATGCTCCATGCCTGGTGTACTCTCCCTTTTCATCTCAACCTCAGAGGAACCCTTTGTTGTTTCAGAGCTCAGGCCAAGGGCTCCTTCTACATGAGCCCTGCCCCACCTGATCCTCCCCAGCTTCTAATTCCTTCCCCATCCTAAAATTGCCTCGACTGTACTTTTCACATAATTTATTTTAGTTTATCTGTGTCCAGTGTTGTTTTTTCTGATAGAACGTTGAATTTTTGTCTGTGTCCCAATGCTTGTTCCTTGATAAATGCTTGTTGACTGAAGTAGTGTCCAGAGTAGAGTCAGAAGAAACGAAGTCCTCTCCATTTTGGGGGCTGTGACTCCACCCAGAAAGATGAGGTGGCTTTGTTGGGTATTACTGGAAAGCCCCAAAGACCCCTCCCATTCTAGTCTTCCATTGCCAGAAATAGCCACGTGAGAGTCACTCCCAGAAAGTCCTTATGAAAACATCCATATTACCTGTGAGAATGAGGAGGAGGATGAGGAGGAGGAAGAGGAAAAACAGGACTGGGATGTGTGTGGGAGAGGGCAGGATTCTGTCCCATTAGTGAATGAGTTTGGCACGTCAGGTGGTAGTCAGGAGGGGGACATGGAGAAGGAAATGTAAGGGGGAGGAGGAAGGGACCATTGTAGCAGCTAGTGACCAGTGTGGGGACAAGCCTGGGGATAATGGGTCACAGCAGGGGGAGGAACAGAGTGTAAAGACCAGTGTGGTCGGCCTGCTTCATAATTGCTTCTGCACCATTATAGGGATGCTCTTACTGAGGCCAGAGGCTACGGATTCCTTTGGACGCAGAAAACAGCTCCCCAGGAGTGAAAGATTGAACCTTGGACTTGGCCTGCATAGGTGGGCTCCATGCTCACTTGGCCACACGGTCATGGAGGTGGCAAAGTTTACTCATTCAGGACATACATCTTTACTCACCTGGAAAGGGAGGATGCGAGGCAGGCCACCCTCCTCTTCACCTCCCTCTGTGTCCACCTGCCAGCTCCTTCCCCATTTGTAGGCTCTGACTCGATCTTTCGTCTTTTAGGCCCCCAAACTTGGGGACTCTCAGGGCTGGAGCTGACCTGGGTTCTGGGGGAGTGAAGCCCTAGAAAGAGCCAAGGACCTGGAGTTAGGAGGAGGAGGAGGAGGACTGAGTATTTATACATCACTCAGTAAGCACTGTGCTAAGCACTTGTAGACATTATCTCACTTGAGATTCATGACAGCCCTGTGAGGTAGATGCTGTTATACCCATTTTACAGTTAAGAAAACTGAGACCAATAGAGGTTAAGTGACTTGCCCAGGGTCACACAGATAGTAAGTGTCCAAAGCCAAATTTGAACTCAGGTCTTCCTGACTCTGGGTCTGTGTCAAGTATTTGAAGGGTTTTTGGGGAAGAGAAGTTAGTGTTCTTGGCCCTAAAGGTGCCATGAGCAGTGGTGGGGAGGGGACAAGAGTATTAAAAGAGGTAATTAAGTGTGAAGCTCAGGAAGCCTCCTGATGATTGTTCCTGTTCCCGAGGGGAATGGGCTACCTCAGGCAGTGGGGGGGGGGAGGGTTGCACCCTTACTTTCCATACCTACCTGCCCCTAGGCACCTCCAGATGAGAGATGGGGAGCTGGAGGCTGGGCTCAGACGTGTGATGTCTCTGCAACCCTGGCCAAGCCCTTCAGTCGCTCGCAGCCTCAGCTACCTCCTCTCTAAAATGGGCTTATTTGGACTGCCCCAGTGGATCGTGTCTTCTAGCTCCCACAGCTCACTAGACACAGGAGTTAGTAGCATGAAAGCATTTTAAAGGTTGGAGGGACTCTGACTACTTCTAGCACGGCTTACATGAACACACCACAATCCTTCATCAAGGGACCGCTGACCGTAGTTCTGGGAGCACAGTAAGCCTTAGGCTGACTCAGAATTGGGGCAGTGGGGCTCAGCTCTGCCACTGCCTTGATAAGTGGCTTCTCCTCTCCTACCCTCAGTTTCCTCCTCTGTTCAGTGGGGAAGATGACACGTTCCAGGCCTGGCCCCTGCCTCTGTCCCTGCCGGGCAGGCCTCCACAAACACACATCCTAAAGCCTTGGCTTTGGGCATGGGAAAGTCCCTGCTGGTCTCCTGGGAGACAAGCACCTGGGTTCAGCCCTTACTACTGGCTTGGAGGGCAAAGTCTAGGCCCAGTTTAAAGTTTAAGGAGGGAGGTGTGATCCAGGTACCCAGAGCACTGCCCCTGCTCAAATCCACCCCCTGGCACACACCCACACCCACACCCACACGGTTTCCTCTACCTCCCTGGGCTCAGAGAGGCTTGAGCTCACCTGCCCATCCCTTAGTGGCTGAGCCAAGCTATAGGGGGCCAGAGCTGGGAGTAGGCACCAGGGACGTGGTCACCTTGGGGGCTTAGGTGAGCCAGATGCCCACATCCCCAGGCCAGGCCAGGCACTGGAGTGAGTCTCTGAAAGATCATCACTCCAGCAGGGACAGTCCCAGAGTGGGCAGCCCAGATCACCAGAAGCCTGTAAGGCTAATGATTGTCTTTTCCTGCCAGTTGGTGGGGAGAGAAGACGTTCCCTGAATTCCAGGGGCATTCACTCAGGTTGAAATATCTTTGGGTATGTAATGGTCAATTCTTTTCCACAGATATTAAGTCCTTGCTGTGTGCCTGGTTTGGTGCCAGGCTCTGGAGAGACAGAGAAAAAAGGAATAGCCCCTGCCCCAAGAAGCTGGCACACACCTGGCTGTGTGGGCAGCCCACTAAAGCCTCCTCATCATGGTGAAATGAGCTGGATGTTTGCTCCCTGCATTTGCCCTGAAGACTGGGTTTGGCTGGTCAATGCCCAGTGCCAATGGAAAGCATAGCAGATCCCCTACCTAGTCCTGGAACTAAAGCTTCCTGAAGGCAGACCAAGATCAGAAGTCACTTCACGCTGTTGACTCCCATGAAATCCAACAGGCATTTTGGCCTCCAGATGCTGGGAATAAAACAAACAAACAGCTCCTGCCCTCAGGATCTCACATTCTATTGGGAGCTGCCTATACCCCGAGACAGTGACAGCAGCCTCATTATTACTGAACAATTCTGGGCTTTTCTCCCCACAGTCCTAAGAAGTAGGTACTATAACTGTGATTGCCCCCTTTTAATAGATAAGGAAAACTGGGCCCCAGAGAGGTTAGGTGGCTGGTCCATGGTCACAGTGCCAAATGTAAGATTCAAATCAAGGTCTTTGTTGATCTGCTGTGCTTTCCATTGTAACTGGGCATTGGTCAGTGGGAGCTTGGTCTTCGGGGTGCACGCAGAGAGCTCTGCCTGCCTCCAGCCCATGTGGGAGTGTAATGTGCAACGACGATGTGGAATAGAGGAGACGTGTCCCAATTCCAAGCAGACCCAGGTATCCTGTGTCTATTACTGAGCAGTGGGCTCAGAGCTGCTCAATTGGTTGCCAAGCCAGAAGGGAGTGCAAACAAAAGCTTCACTTTCTCGGTGACCAACGAGACATGAAGGGCTGTGAGCCTCCAGGTGGGGAGAAGGGTGAAAGGGAATCTTTGAACAAGAGATGGACGTGGGCAGAAGGGCGCCATAGCAAGTCACCTTGGCGGCTGAGTGGACTTAGATAGATTGGAGTGGGCAGAGACTGGAGCAAGGAAACCAAGCAGAAGACCATTGCCATAATTCAGGTGAGAGGGTGCTAGGAGCTTAAACAAGGGTGGCAAGCATGTGAAGGGAGAGATGGGACATAGAGGAAAGATGCTGGGAAGGGAAAACAGCAGGACTTGGCAGCTGGCTGGAAGAGGAATTGGAAGGAGAGAGGAGTCAAGATGGCTCCGGGGTGAGAGTGAGTGATGTGGAGGATGGCCAAACCCTCAGCAGAAATGGGGAGGAATTGGAGGGAGTGACCTAGAAGGTCTCTCAAATCCCCAGAGCTTTTTCAAATGACTTGTCCTCTGACCACACGGCTTTATCCTGAGTTTGGGGGCAGTATGTTTGCTTTTAACTCAGCTAGAAGACTTGACATCTATCACTATTCACATTCATCATTGTAGAGTTGGCCCCTCAGCTTCACCTGTTGCAAGTCCAGACTCTGCTCTCCTCTCTCTCTCCCCACCTCCCACCCCTTTGCTGTCTGGTGATCCCACTTTGTGGCACCTCTAAATTGGATAAGAGTTTGGTCTAGTTGCACCTTCCTCTAGCTCATTGCAATGTGTTGGACAGCGCCTGCGCTTCCCCTGAGCCTAGAGGGAGGGTCTGCTTGAGGGAGAAGGAGGGAGGAGGAGGTATACAGAAGAACAAGCTGATCCCCCCACGCTGTTGAATAGTCAGTGGACGTTCAGACCCAATCAGCATGCCATGATTATTCAGGTGCCTTCCTGTGTGCCAAGCAAGCCCAAGAGGGCAGATGTTCAGGACACAGAAGCATCCCAGCCTGGAGGTGGCTGCCCTCTTTCCCTGCTGAAGACCATGCCTGCCAACCCCTGGGGCCTCTGGATTCTTTGCTCCTTCAGTCTTGTGGCCGGTGTAAGTAGCCTGCCTTGATGTCCCTTAGCCTGGTACTGCCTCTGGTTGGGCTTCAGGCCCTAGAAAAGGAGGAGAAAATCATGAGAGAAGGAGGTCCCTCTCTCCCCTTGGATGCAGTTAACCCCTGGGTTAGGATGGGGTCCAGCAGCCCAATGACCCCCATCGGAGGGTATGCCAGCTGGGCGGAGGACTCACACTTCAGTTCTGTTTATATCAAGTAAATGACTGTGTCTAATCCCAAAGAGTTGATTATTAATGGAAAAACAGGACATGGGTATCAGCCTCCAGCACAGGTCAGATGGCTTTGGGCTTCAGCCAGTCATTAATCAAAAGGAACCCAAGCATCTAGATGGGCCAGTTGGCACAATTAGAGCATAAGAAAGTTGTTTTTTGCAGAAATTGAGAAATACCCATGGTTTGTAGAGTGGGAAGGGGAAGGGGGGGAGAAGGAGCTTGTTCCAGGGGCCTGGATAGGAGGTGGGGGCAGGGGAAGGAGCAGGAGAGCCCCCTGATGATCCCCTGACTCCTCAGGAGAGGAGGGCCTAGGCACATGGAGCCTCCATTGGGAGGAGGAGCAGGGACAGTCAAAGAGAGATTGTGGGGACCAGAGGACGAGCTGGGTGGTCTCCAAAGCTTCTCTGGGTAGGATGTATCTCCTGAGCCAGTGGGACCTTGCTGGACTCCGCGTCTCCCTGTGTTTTCGGAAAATGCCCAAGAGAGTTGGTGCCAAGAACTCCTCAAGTCAGGAGAAAAAGAGCCGCTCTTGTTTTGGGGTGCTATACCTAGTCAGGGCACCAGGGGATGAGATTGGGGGAAGGGGAGAAAGAGGAGGAGAGGGACTGTCTCTGCGGCTGCGGCCCAGGAGGGAGGCCTGAAGGGGGGAGGGGCAAGCACAAGCAGGAGGCTCCTTTAGCTCTTTTGATTCCCAAGATCCCCCCAGTAGAATCATCCCCCAACAATCCCTCCAAAGGGTTTGTGTTGTCCAGGTGTGGCTCCAGGGACAGAGTCCCAGGAAGCCGGTCCTTGTGTTGGCCTGGGACTGGGAGGGTGGTCTTTGTTGAGTCCCGTCAGCATGGGGATGGGAGTGAGGTCCCTATGATCGTCTGGGCCAGAGCTGGGGTGTCAAGGGGGAAAAGGCTCATCTCCCAGGGCCTTGCCTTGTGCCAGTCACCCCAGAGGAGGGGGGTACGGGCAAGAAGTAGCACCTGACTGGGGGAGGAGAGCTCCTAGTTTGTCTGTAAAGACAAGATCCACCTACGGGAAATATTCAGAGACCCGTTCCGAATGGTGCTATCAGGCTATTAGATGGGGTACAATAAGTGGCAAATATTGAAGGTGGCAATCAGTGTGGGTCCTTGGGCAAGTCACTTCATCTCCCCTGGCCTCAGTTACCTCACCTGTGCAATGAAGGGGCTGGACTTAATATCCCCAGAGATACTTTCTAGCTCACAACCTATGACCTTGCAGTGGAGGGTGGATGGTGGGGATGGAGCTGGAGTAATCAGGGAGAGCTTCCTGGGGAAGCAGACCTGGAGCAGGGCCCTAAAGTGTGGCTAGGGATTAGATAATGAGGGAGGAGTAGGGATGGTATTTCAGGTGTGTGTCTTAGGAACAAAGCATGGATAAAGGCAGAAGTGTTCAGGGAGAGCAGCCTAGCTGGGGCAGAGAGCACTTGTTGGGATTACAAGGAGCTTCATGGTCAGCCATAACCTGCTTCCTTTAGTGCCCCAGGATGCCACGTGGGCTCTGTGGTGCCATCTTAGCTCCCCCACCCTGCTCTGCTCCCCAGCAGCTGTGTCCCCCAGTCTTCACCACAGTGTCCATATGGATAAAGCTCAGTAGTAGGCTGCCCTCTCTATAACCAGTTCCCAGATAAAATGACTTTTATTATTCATGCTTTGGAGATGGAAACTAGCAGCCTGGGTGGCAGCTGTGCTGGGAACAGAGAAGGTCACCTGCTCTGTGGGCTGAAATCACCTTGTTTTGTTCCTTCTCTGAGAACTGAACTGAAAGAGTATGTTAATGGTCCTCCCACCCTCTCTGCCAAAGCATGAGTGTCTGGGCCTAGCCTGTGACCAATATCAATAATTGCCGGTGTCAGGCATAGAAAATACTTTAGAGAAGAGAAGAGAAAAAAGAGGAGAAGAGAGGAGAAAAGAGAAGAGAAGAGAAGGGAAGAGAAAAAAGAGAAGAGGAGAGAAGAGGAGAGGAGAGGAGAGGAGAGGGACGGAGAAGGGCTGAAAATTATTGTTGTTCAGTAGTATTTAGTAGACTCTTTGTGACCCCATTTGGGGTTTTCTTAGCAAAGATACTGGAGTGGTTTGACGTTTCTCCAGCTTATTTTACAGATAAGGAAACTGAGGCAAACAGAGTGAAATGACTTGCCTAGGCCCACACATCTGGTAAGTGTCTGAGGCCAGATTTGAATCCAGGAAGATGAATCTTCCTGACTTTAGGCCCTTGCTCTGTGCACCATGGTGCCACCTAGTGGCCTGGTGAGAATTTTAAATAAGTGCAGAAGCAGACACTGACTTCTCCAGGGAGCCCTCTCAGGTTGACCCATGTCAGCACTTGGACAGCTCCAGTATGGTGTCAAGAATTAGGTTGGTGGGCTGACAAGATAGTCAGGGCTTCTCTCCCACTGACAGTAACCACCCTGTTCCCAGACCTTCCCCTCCCCAAAGTCTGAATGATTTGTCTCACATAAGCCTTGAATGTAAAAGCCAAGGCCAGAATCTGGGGCATTAGGAAAAACTGGAGGACTCGGAAAAGTTTCAAGGTCTGAGTAAACAGAGATACATCCTATCAGCTGCCTGAGCCCAAGGAAGGGCACCTTGGATCTGGCTCAGGGTCAGTAAGGGACATTCAGCAAAGGGAAAAAGGTGATGTGGGGATGGGTGAAGGGGAAGCACTATCATTGGTCAGAAAAGATTGAAGCTTTGTGGAAATGGGTTGAGTAAGGCAAATGGTCAGCCCCCTTGACACCTCTGAATTGTAACTCCAGAAACTTTGCTAGCATTCATACTTTCTGCCCCAACAGCTATCTTCCTGCGTTTCTCAGCCTTTGGCTGTTAGTGCTGTGAAGAAAGCCCAGTAATAAGCCAGCCCAGCTCCCTAGTTGGCCCCTGCCCCTTTACCCAGGTGGGGACCACCCTTTGCCTTCTCTAGTGTTTGCTTAATCACCAGTCCCCTGGGTAGTATCAAAGTAGCCTTCATGATGTTCTGCCTAGGGAGGCTGACACTGGGAGACCCAACTACCTCCTGGGGGTAGTTTGGGGTAGGGAAAGAGCATTGGCCTTGGGCCCAGTGGACCAGAGTTTCAATCAATCACTCAACAAACATTTGTTAAGCACCCCCTATGTGCTGCACATAGGCCACTATGTTAAGTGCTAAGGATGCAAATACCACAAATTAACCAATCCCTACTTCCAAAGATTTTACATCCTAATGGAGTGGGGGAGAAATGTGCTCACATAAAAATATGTAAAGAGTTAAGTTGATATGTGCAGATGTATTAGTAGTTCAGTATAAGACAATTTGAGAGTGAAGACACCAGTGGTTAGTGGATCAGGAAAGGAAGAATCACCATCCACCCCTTGGTGTCTGAGGTGCAGCATAAAGGAGTAGAAAGGCTATATTAGGTGGAGGCAAGGAGGGAGTGCATTCCAGGCATATGGGAGAGTTAATGTCTAGTGCAAATTCATAGTGAAGGGAGATGGAGTATTGTGTGTGGGAACACGTTTGCCTGGATTCTGGAGTGTGGGAGGGGAAGTAATATCCAGTGAGACTGGAAAGATAGATCCGGGCAACGTTGTGTAAGGCTAAACAGAGAAGCTTATATATTAGCCCATAGGCTATTGGGAGGCCCTGCAGTTGCTTGAGTAGGGGCATCACATAATCTATCTGTGCTTAAGGAAAATTCCTCTGGAGGTAGTTTTTAGAATAGACTGGAATGGGAAGAGATTTGAAGAAGAAAAGCCAATTAAGAAGTCATTGCAATGATCTAGTGGAAAAATAATGAGAACTGAGCCAAAGTAGCTACTGTACGAGTGAAGAGAAAGGACTAGATGAACGATGAGTTATAAAGGTTGAAATGGCAAGATTTGGCAACTGATTGGATATGTGGTGTGAGGAGTCCAGAATATCTTAAACCTGAGAGTCTGGAAGGATAGGGATGCCTTGGGCAAAGATATGGACATTTGAAAGAGAGAAGGGTTTAGGGGAAAGGATAATAAGCTCAGTTTTAGACGTGTTAAATTTGAGATATCTCAGGAACATCAAGTTCAAAATGCCCAATAGGCCATTAGGGGTGTGGGACTAGAATTCAGGGGAAAGATTGGGGCTGGCTCTATAGAACTGAGAATCATCTAAATAGTATTGATAGTTTGAACTACCATGGAAACTAATGTGGTTATGGAGAGAGAATACAGGAGAAGAGAGGGCCCAGCACAAAACTTCAGGCAACACCCACAATTAAGGGGTATGAGATGGCTAAAGAGTCAACAAGGAGACTAAGAAAGGGAGGTCAGATGGCAGGAGGTCAACCAGGAGAGAGAAGAGCTACAAAAACCCAGGAGAGAGTGGTCCATCAGCATTAAAGGCCACAGGGAAGGATGAGAACTGAGATGAAGCCATTGGCCTTGGCAATTAAAACATTATTATTAACTTTGGAAAGAGTCATTTTAGTTGAGTAATGAGGTCAGGAGCCAAATTGTAAAGGGGTGTGGAGTGAGACAAGAGGAAGTGGAGGATGGTGGTATAGACAGTTCTATCAAGGACTTCGGCTTAGAAAAGGAGGAGAAATATAAGATGATAGCTTCAGGGGATGGTAGTGTCCTAGTGAAGATTTTTTTTAAGAATGGAGGAGACTTGGGTATGTCTGAAGGCAGTAGGGAAAGACCCAGTGAAGAAGTTGAATATTCAAAAAAGGGGGAGGGGATGATTGAGAATGCAATCTTTTGGAAAAGACAGGAGGGATTTGATCAAGAGCACATCCAGAGAGATTGGCCTTGGCAAAGAGAAGGGTCACCTCTGTTTCAGAGACTTGGGGAAAGGAGGAAAGAGTGGGAGATGATGTCAAAGATTTTGAGATGAAGAGAGTGAGAGGAGAGCTGCCCTCCTCCATGGTGCCTTCATTGCTGGAAGAAAATCCTTCTGCACCTCCCCAATTGATTCACTATTCCACTCACCACAACTAATTTTCCAAACCCTTTCATCCACCCTCAAACCTCTGGTGGCTTCCTCTTCCCCTCACCCCAACTGTCAGCTGAGAACCTTTTTTTATATTTCACTGAAAAAAACAAACAATTCTTGTTTTTGTGTTTTTTTTTTACTTTTAGGCAATTGGGGTTAAGTGACTTGCCCAGAGTCACACAGCTAGTAAGTGTCAAGTATTTGGTCTGAGGCCAGATTTGAACTCAGGTCCTCCTGACTTCAGGGCCAGTGTTCTATCCACTGTGCCACCTAGCTGCCCCTAAAACCAAACAATTCTTGAGAGCTCCCTCCTCTCCCTTCATCTTCATTTCACATTGCTGAGATGCCTTCTGCCACTATCTCCACCTTCACCCCTGTTGCACATGAAGAGATAACCATTCTCTTTGCCTCCTCAAGCACAAGTGATGCCATTGCACTCAATATTTCCCAGCAGATCGCCCCTCTGTCATCCCCACTCTCTAACTTATCTTCAATTTCGCCCCGTCTATTGGCTGCTTCCCTATTCCTTATGGACGGGCCCATGTCTTCACCTTATTAGAAAATCTCATTATTCCATGCTTCCCCCACCCACATACTCTGAGATTCAGTGATCCTGGCCTCCTTTCTATTCCTCAAACTCACTCCATCTCCTGATTTTGAGTATTTCCGGTGACTGTGTTCTGTGTCCTCTCAGAATGGTTCTGTGTCCTCTCAGAATGGTTCTGTGTCCATGTGCTAATGGGCCAACTTCTTAATCTTGTGTAGATGCCTGTTCTGTTCACAGTCCTCTGGACTGTGAACTCCCTAAGGGCAGAGACCCTAGCCTTTGATTCTGCTGCCTGCTTAGCCCTGGGAGGATGCCAAACAGCCTGACCACACTTTTTGCTTCCCATGAGAGTGAAGGTAATTACTCTGCCCAGCCCCCAAAAGTCAGGCAGCAGCCTCTTGCCCTAGAGCAAGGAAAACTGGGCCCGTTCTCCAGGATGGGGCAGTATATTCTGGGCCCTTCCAACACTTATGAGCTTCTTTACCCACAGGTCTTGGAGCTCGTGCACCCAGAATGCGATCTTCTCCAAGAGCTGAAAAAGGATGAGTTGGCATGCCTGCCAAGAAAAGAGGAGCCATCCAATGGGACTGCAGGTACCCAGAGCTCCTTCTCTTGTGTGGGCCACCAAGAAGCCTGAGAAGGTCTAGGCTGCTAGTCCACAGTGGGCTCTGGGAAATCAGGGACTTTGTCCTGCCCAGGGAGAAACACATCTTGACTGATTTTCTTTTCTTTTTAAAAATTCTATCTATCTATCTATCTATCTATCTATCTAACTTCCTATCAATCTGTCTGTCTGTCTATCTATGTCTATTTTTAATCAGCAAAAATCTTCCTTCTCTCCCTCCCATCCTAACCTTCTCTCCTGCGATTGATAAGGAAAGACAAACAAAGCCTCTAGTGCAAGCGTGCAGAGTTAGACAAACCACCTTTCCACTCTGGTCATTCAACTGTTTTTCCATGGTCTGACCTTTTTTGTGCTGTTTGCTCATGATCCCAGCCAATTACTTGAGTTTTAAACTCTTTGTTAAGGTAAGAGTCTGCTTCCAGTGTGGAGAATGTACTGTCCCAAACTTTGGGGGTTTTGCGCAGCTGTTTTCAGAGATACTTCTAGGGACCTGTAAATTTTCAGTTCTTCCAAGGTGGTATGATCAAGGGTGAGGTATTTACTTCTTTCCTGGCCTGGGCTCTGGTCTATGAGTGACCACAAGCACTCTTTTCTGCCTTGGAACTGTGAGGGGGATTCCCTCTCCACTGCTGCCACAAGCTCCACTATGCCAATATTCCTCCTTGCCCTAGGACTGCCACCCAGAACTGTGACCCAGATCCAAGCATTGGCAAGCAAGAGAATCCTGCCTCAGCACCAGCAAAGAGATCCCTGCAATCCCCCTATGATCAGCCATTCAATTCCTCCTCCATCTGTGGGCTGAGAGCTCTGGAAGCAGCCACCACCCCGGGGCTGAGCCAGGACTGGGGCAGGACCAAGTTCCTCTCTCACCTTGGTCAGACAGAACTTTCCTACTGACCTTCTAAGTTATCTTTGGTGTTTGTGGGTTGAGAAGTCTGGAAACCACACAGATGCCCATGATTCAGTCCCCTGAGGCTTGCTCCAGGTTTGCTGAGGCGTGGTCTTTGTTTGCATGCTAAACTGCTCCTCTCCCAGCCTGGCACAATAGACCTTTCCCATCAACCATCCAGGTTGTCTTGGGCTGGAAATTTGTTTCACTCTGTCTTTTTGTTGGTTCTGTCACTCTAGAATTTGTTTAGAGCTATTTTTCACAGGTATTTGTAGGAGTTTGGGGGAGAGCTTAAGCAAGTCACTGCTTTTACTCCACCATCTTGGCTCCATCCATCAACTGCTTTTCTAAGCTCTTCTTACCTTACCAAATAAAATAGAAAGTGCTTTTGAGACCAGTTAGCACCTAGCCCATTCCCACTGGCAGGTTCACTTTTCTCCCCATGACATGAGTAGCTCCTGCCAACAGAGGGAGTAGCCACTGCCCAATGTATCTGGGCTCTTCCCCTTATTCCCTCTCCATCCCCCAGATCTTGGACTCTCTCCTCACACCCATGACAAGGCTGCTTGCTTTGTTCCTCTTTAGGCTGCCAGAGGGAGTGGGATGGTCTGCTTTGCTGGCCAGCTATGGGAGCTGGGGCGTCAGTCACCCTGCCCTGCCCGGACTTCTTTTCTCTCTTCAGCCCCAAGCCAGGTGAGGTGGTTCTGAATGATGGCCAGGGAGAGGTGGGGCAGATGATGAACCTTGGGAGGGAGGAGGTAGGAGGACCCAAAGCCCTGGGGCAGGCATAATCTCCTGCTCATCCTCTGGCCTCTTCTGACCTTGCTTGGAAGGAGAGGATGGAGGACAGAGCTCCTCCTATAAGTACTCAGCACAGGGTAAGGCAAGATACAGCTGGCCAATGGTTTCCTTGCCCAAGGTGCCCCAGTTCTTCCCATATGCAGTAAAGAATGAGGTTGTAATTGCAGCCAGCTCAGTGGCCCAAAGGGCAGAGGGCTCAGTAGCTCAGGAGACCGCCACTGAGGCAAGGCCATAAGCACAAGGTCCTCCCTCAAGGTCCTTCCTGGTGCTTTTTCCTATGGGCCCATGTCCTTCAGTTTTGTACCCCTGTCATTAGGGAAATACTGGGGTCCCCTACAATGTCCATGGGCTATCCTAGAGACAGATGCTCCCATCCCCCTTCTCTATCATCTCTTCCCCTTCCAGGAACAGTGAGGAGAGACTGCACGGGCATGGGATGGTCGGACCCCTCCCCACCATATCTTGAAGCATGTCCGGTGGAGCTGGAATCTCTGGCTGAGGAGGTGGGCTGCTCCCAAGATGGTGAGGGGAGGGGGAAGGAAGGAGGGTCCGAGTACCCAGGGATTGGGAGGGAGCATGGTGAGGCCCACAGGGCCCCCTATGTCACACTCCCTCCTTCTGTTCCCAGAACTGCCATCAAAAGGAATGAGAATAGTGACGGGGGCAGTGGGTGATGGGTTGATGGTGATGGTTTGGTGGATTCAGGGGGGTGTAGCCAAAGCCCACTGGACTGGGAGGCAGGAAGCCTGGATTCTAGTCCCTAATGATGCTTCACATTTGTAGAAGGCCTGACCCTTGAGCCAATCCCACCCACCCTCACATAGCAGGGAGGGTATATATTATAGTTACTATTTTACAAATGAGGAAACTGAGACCCATAGGAGTTAATTGACTCATTTAAGGTCACACGATAAGTTAGTGGCAGAGTTGGAATGAGAACTCAGATATTTTGACTGGGACTTCAGCTCCTCCATATAACAGCATGCTGGCCTCTCGTTCATTTATGGAAGGACTCTGGGCCTACCACTTAGTGACTCAGGCCTCAGCTTCCTTAGCTGTAAAATGGGACAGTGTTATTGGCCCCTATGCTCCAAGGTGCCTGGGAGGGTGGAGTGAGTTCAGGGTCCTGGGTAGCTTGAGGAAGAGTAAGAAACTGCCCAGCCACGAGGGGCAAGAGGACTATTCTCTTTGTGGAATGTGTGGCCTGCTGTCTCCACACTTTCTCTTCAGTTCTGAAGGCTCTCAAAAAGCAAGAACTTCCTTCATTTGGGCTTTGAGGTTTTATTTTCCATCTCTCCCCCTATTCTTGCCCCACCCCCATTCCCCTTCCACCCTCTTCCAAACAGCCAATGTAAGACAACCCTCCCTGGCCGTGCCTGGAGCTGAGGATTAAAGGCAGCTGGCAGGAAGTTATTTTGAAAAGTGGAAAAGCATTGTGTGGAAAATTTGTGTGAATAATCACAGCTTCATCTCCCTGATGTGAAAGTTTTAATGTTCATGTACTGGAGTTGCTAAACATTGGACCCCTGGGTGAACTGATTAACCTAAAACACCCCTGCCAGCCAGCTGATACTCCTCTTTCCTCTCCAGAAATCCTACTTCTCCACAGTCAAGATCATTTACACCGTGGGCTACAGTGTCTCACTGGCTTCCCTCCTTGTGGCAATCATGATCCTCATGATGCTGAGGTATGTCACTATCTCCACCATCCCCAGTCATCCCCAGTCATCCCCAGTGGTCAGTAACGGTCCCTGGTGATCCCCAGTGATCCTCAGGGGTCACCAATGGTCACCAGTCATCATTAGTGG